TCTTTTATTAAATAAAGTGAGGAGAAAGATGAATATATAGGGTGACACTAGCTCTTACGATGTTGGCCATAGCAAGTAATATCATAGCATGAGTCATGCTTAAAAACACTATTTTTAGGAACAATTTTGTCATATCGAGTTAATTGTGCGGTAGCTTATAGGATTAAATAAACTCTTCTTGCAAAATAAACATGGACACAAAACAACAAAAATCCAAGCACCTCATAGATAGAAGGGTTAAGGGTCTAAAATATCCTTGACTAAACAAAAAAGGTCAAGATTGCCCCTAAAGTAAAAAAAAAAAGGCATTTATGTCCTTCAACCATTAAGATTTTTGATTCCATTACCCTAACGTCTATTCTATCAAATTTCACCATTAGTGGAATTCATATTTATTTTTTTAATATTTTTAGTGGGTCCCACTATTTTTTTTATACGATTGAGGGTCTAAAATGCCCTTCAATTAAGCAAAAAGGGCTAGGATTGCCCCTAAAATCAAGAAAGAGTCATTATATTCTTCAATTGCTAAGATTCTTTATTCCATCCTCTTGCCATTTATTTCATCAAATTTTACCTTAATAGGGCCTACATTTAATTTTTTTATAGTTTTAATGGGTCACACCATTTTTTTTATATTTTTAGTAGGTTCCTCGAGCCACACCTTCAAGCAAATGTTTGTTCAATTTTGTAAAAATTTAAACTTCACGCCACAACTCTTCGATGGCTATAAGCCTAATTTTCTACCATAATTTCTAACCTTGCCCTCAAATTCGCCATTACTGAATGGTGCCAGAACTCTTACCAACACATCATAGGAACATGCTTCTGATGCACTTATCAGCCTAGCCATTCATTGATGATAACAAGACTACAATTGGCATGTCGGGTGCTCTACCGTCACTATTTCACTTGCTTCAATGAGAATGAGATCGGGAATAAAAGGGGGGGAGAGGAGGAGAAAGGGATTTTTTTTAAAATTATAAAACATATTAAAAATGATGGGACCCACTAAAAATATTAAAAAAATTCAAATGTGGGCTTACTTATGATGAAAATTGATAGAATAGATGGTAGGGTGATGGAATAAAAAATCTTAACAATTGAAGGATTATAAACGGACTCTTTCTTTATTTTAAGGGCGACTTTGACCATTTTTGCTTAATTGAGGGCATTTTCGACCCTTAACCTAAAAAAATATAATAAAAAAATAAAGTAGGTCCTACTATTATATTTTATTATTAAATAATTCATATGGACCCCGCTAATGGATAATTAAAGCTAGGGGCATCGAGGAAGCAAAATTTTGAAATTGAGGGATAAAACTGACCCTAAATTAAGTTTAGGATTATATGTTCAGGAATAAAAATAACCCTTAATTCTATAAAAATAGTATGATAGAAGATGAGAGAAAACTTTAAAGTTCAAAGGTTCATCCAAAACCTGTGGCAAATATTGCCATTTATAAGCAAATTTATCAAAAATTGGACAAAAAAACACATTAAACATATTTAAAAAATAATTTCATGTAATAATGGGGTTTGATAGATATGTTACAACATAAATTGATATAAACAGTAATTGATATTATTCATTTAGGGTAACTTTTTTTAAATACTCATAAATATTTTATAATATCCAAAAAAAAGTATTGAATGAAGATGGATTCGGCAATTGTGTCTTCTAACATCATAAAATTCTTGAATCTTTGATTCTTTGAGGCTGCAACTTGTGAAGGATTTTCTCAAACAGGCAATAAAACGTCAAGAAATGAAGAGTATAATAGAGAGATGAGAAAGGCAATTTTGTCATTTTATGAAAAAATTAATTCCAAATAAGTCTCAAGGGACTTCAAAATAATTAGAACATTCATGATACTGATATATGCAAATTTCAGTAGTATTTTATTGTCATTATCCCTTTTTATAAATACATTTAAAGTGTTAAATAAAATGTAAATAGTTCATAAATGTAGACTATTATTAAAGTTTCATAAATTATTTTTTATTTTTCCTTACTACAATATAAACTATTTATATCAAATTTTGACAACATAAATATAATTTATCTATTTATGTGATATCATAATACTTATAATAATAGTTTTTTGAAATATTAAGCCTCAATTATTCAATTTTTAATCCAAGGGCAAGATGAGATAAGAAGAAAATGAGAGGACAGGATGAGGAGAGGATTCAGATCCTTCAAATGTATTACTTTTATATCTTCTCTTTCATTTAATTTATTTTCTTAACACTATCCCAAAGGTAGATGCTGTTCTTGACAGAAAGTGAGCTGACTGTTCGCACTTCTTCATCTCTGTTCATATCTTCTCTAATATAAGGGTCCAAAAAGCAGAGGAAAACCAGAGTTTCATTGAAGTTCCAAAGAATGTCACGAAACAGAAATGTAAAGTTGTCTGACGCAAACAATTCCTTGTTTTTTTAGTAAAGAGGAAGGCAAAGCCTTAGTATACAGCGGGAGAGGAAAAAAACAAAGGTTAACTCCTAGGAGTTAACATGTCCCCAGTCAGATCTTGCTACATAAGTTCATTGGTCTGTAATGGTCACTTCATGAAATATATGGTGAGCAGTTTTTGTCAGCAATTAGTTTCTTTGGTAGCATAGCCATATAAAAGCACTCAATTTGTGTCTTCTTAGATCTCTTCCGTAATGTTTACAGTTGGATGATTTTTATGGAGAATATTTGAGGTATTATAAAGTGTTTCAGCCTAGTTGGAGAACACTCTGATCCTCTTAGACTCAAACAATTCTGAAGCAGGTGAGATGGGACAGTGTTGGACTATTTGCAAATAAAGGAAGCATATCAAACAACGAAAACAAGACAGCTAAAATGGAATAGCGTCAACCCGCAAATAATGTTCTAAATTGATGGAATTCGCAGCATCTCTACACTCCTAGGCTTGAGCAATGTATTTGACCATAAATGAATCGTTGCTAAGGTCAATAACCAAAATAATCAAAGTCTTACCGTACAAACTTCGAAGCCTCGTCTCAATTTCCAAAAACTAATTTTAACGTGTAAAGTAAATATTTTAACAAATAATTATAGAAAATTAACAAGTCACATTACGCATTTAACACATACGTTAATTGAGTTAATAATTTATCAAGTAATGTCATGAAATTAACGTGAAGATTTTAATTCAAAAAGGTTATTTAAGCTATTTTTCCTTACATTTTAATTTAGTTCAAGTTTAAATTCTTGCAATGAAATTTCATATTTATTTGGGTCTCATTTATAATAATGTCACATCATGATCCTTTAATGAACTTCTCCCAAAAATTAAAGATCCAATCTTTATAGATTCACGCAATTTTTTTTTACGTGTGTACATGTATTCTTTTATTAAAAATGATTTTGCTTGAGACACAATCTATAACACTTCAAATCTTAATTTTTAGTTAATTAAATTTATGAAGGTTAATTTAGTAAATTTAGGTGTTTATTAATTTGAGGATGGTTAATAATGATTAGTGGGCCTATTAAGTTTGGTTTTGATATTTGGATCGGGTTTGAAAGTTTTTTAGGCCAATTGGGCCTAAGAAGAAGAGCAAAATTTTGGCATGGATGATGCTTGTGTCATAACATGCGGCCAAATTTTTAAAATTTACAGCTCGTGTTCCAGCTGTAAAATAGAAGAAAGAGAGAATCAAGAGAGCGACGGAAGGAGACTATTCTCTATTATGACATTAACTTGAAAGCATCTTAAATGTGTTTTGAGCTTGATTTCCCTATGTATGTTTTCCCTGCTCCTCTTTATTGTTTCTACACAAATTTAGAGTAAGATTTGAAATTATTAGATGATAATTTTGGATCTAAGGTTATGGGTTTGAATTTATTTTTAGATGGAATTAATAAAAATTGTTCAAGTTTATACACCTAATTGTTTTTTGTCCAATAAAAGTCGTCTATTACTGATTAAAAAATATCCCCACACACGGGGGCTAGACCAATAACTAGATAGTTTTTTGTGCGTTGCACGGATTGGATTTAAAAAATTTGAAACAAATGCCTTAATACTATTAATATCAACACATAAGATTGCTAAATTTTAAAAATTCTTTAATTCAATCATTTCTTTCTTCTTAAACATCTCGTTTATACATATTTTATCTTTGTTTCTGGAGTCTATAGTAAATACAAAAGAGTTTGAAAAAGATCAATTTTTTTATGATTCTATCATACATGATTAAGCGTGAAAAATTTTGAATAAGTATCCTTGCATTTTTTTTGAAAAAAATTATACATAAAATGTGACTTATACTTTTTGATATTTGCTTTATTACTTGTGATCAAACATAATTGTATTTCTTAATTTTTTTCTCTGTTTTTGTTTTGTCAACAAAAATTATAAAAAAACAACACAAACTTTTTTATACAAATTTTATACATAATTATATTCTAATTTAATTTCTGTTTATAGCGTATTGTCCAAAAAATTATAACAAATGTTTTTCATGAAATTGTATCTAATTATATATTTAATAATTCAAAATGAGAGAATTAATCTTTATAATTACTAGGTTGAATAAAAAATTGTAAGTAATAATAACAATATGAAAAAATTCTATAAATTGATACATTTTTATTTCATTTTGTGGTAGTGGAATGCAAGATAAAGTTCTGTCATCCAGTAAAGTAAAAACAAATATGCTCGTTAAGAGGTACAACAAACTTTCTTGTATACTGAAGCCCATTCCATTGGCATTCTATCAAAACAAAACAAAATAGAATACCAAGACTCAAAAATCGCAAAACACCTTTAAAAATTCTCCTGTGTCAGCACTAAAAAAGTAAGAAACTAATATATTCTCAAGTAATAACATAAGATTCCATCCTTTAATATTGGGCTAATTCATGGCTCAAATTAATTTTACAAGATATACATATTTAATACTCAACAAATAAAAGAGAAAGAGAACTTGCAGACTAAAATATGCCAAAATTGTTGCCATATTAGTACATGTAATTCTGGCTTCTCTAGATTTCACACATAACAGTGCTGCCAAGTGTATTATTCTTTAATGATCAAGCAGCGAGGGATATACACATCCTCGGTCCTTCTAGTGTCTAAAAAATCTAGAATAGAGCTAGCAAGTGGCTTCACAGCGTTAGATTCTAAAACAAACCTCGTAGCTTCTTTATCCTTGCAAGCAATTTTAGCATTTCTTGGATGGAATCTTGGCCAATTTCTATCAAGACTTGTATCATCGAACGTTACAATTAGATTATGGTAAGGAATTCTATGCCATTCAAAAACATCCGTCAATAAATTACCTGTAACAGGAGACAAATGGTAATTATGGTTGATGCTTAAATTCAAATACTCTCTATCTTCACATCTTTTCAATTCAGATATGTGCATTAAGTGCTACAAAACATAGACTTTAAAATAATTAGCTTCAAAACATCCTCAAGGATGGACATGAAATAGTTTTGCAGTTTAGATCCTCGAAAGTAGGTTAAGATTCCCTGCCAATCTTAAATCTTCGTGCTATAATCAAATCTAAAAACAACACTCCACCCTATCATTCTTAAATCTAAAATCAAACAAAACGAAAAAACACTTCACCTTGTCATTAATTGAATAGATCTATCTATAAACAACAATTCACCTTATCATTCTTAAATCTTTGTGTCATAATACTCTATCTCTTAAAAAAAAAGGAAGATAAGTATGATTAGGAACAAAGGTTTAAAATTGAAACAATTGCCAATGTTACAAAAGAAAAACCATGCATTTAAATGTCAAAATTACAATTTTTACCATTCCACCAAAGAAAGAAGGATGACAATAATTGAGATTCAACGTTCTACAAAGTTGTTATCAGGCATCTTACAAGATCAGTGGTACCTAGAACCACAATAAAGATCCTTACAATCTATAAAATACCTTCTTTCTGCTTGTGTTCTTCCTCATCTTCATCCTCCTTCTTTTCATCATCACCCTCCTCTTGAAAAATAAGCATTCTCTCCTCAAAATTAGTTATCCAGTAGCAAAATTATGAGGTCTGAATCCACATTTAATTAAAAAATACAAACCTAATTATAATTTATCAAAATTATCTTTTGATAACATAAAATCATCATAAAGTCATAATTAAACATGAGGAAGAATTGAAATTACAACAACATTTCACATTCACAAGGAAATAGCCAGGTTGAAAATGGGGAACATAGATCCAAAAAAAGGGAAGGCAAAGAAAAATAGATTACCTACGACAGTAGGTCAGAGTTGAGATATCTATTGTCATTCGGGATGGTTGCGAAGGAGCGTTGCACCCTCTTCTTCTCTACTCGTCTAGATTTCTACAAACCTATGTTAATTTCTACACACCCTCTTCTATTATTCTCAAGTTTAATACCATGTTGGAAGAAGTGCACTTTTTCGTTAGAATGACTGAACAAAGGAGAAAGCAATGGCAAGATCTTGCAAGGAGAACAAATATGAAATACAAGAATAAAGAAAATAACCTAATAAAAAGAAAGAAATAGAAAAGTTATTGTAAAATGCGAAGGAAATAAAGACTATCATGAAAAAGTTAAAATTGAGACGGAAATAAATAAATGTTCAGGAGAGAGCTAGCTCTTGCTATGGTTCTGCCGCGCGAAGAAGAAGAAAGATATATTTGCTGTCTCTTTCTCGCTTTGTTTCTTGCTTTGAATTGAGCCGTCAGGAGAGACCCATTATTTCTTGAAGACGAAGATTGGAGAGTTTTGAGAGATGTGAAGTTACATTGGGAAGAGATGCAGAGATTAATGGAGAAACTAAGACGAATGAAGTGCTCCCGTGAAATGATGAACCAATAGGTGTGGAGAATTAAAATTTAATCAAAATTAATTAATCAATAAAATGAAAGAGATTTTAACCAACGGCTTTGTACGAGATTTATAAATATATATTGATATTGATATATTGATGATTGATGATTGATGATTCCATCGCATATATTTAAGAGAACGGATTCCGCAGAGAGTCTGAGAGTTCTTCTCCATCGGATCTGATGTTGAACTTGAATCCCACTCGGTCGCACTGATATTCCCCCGACGCTTCTCACATTAGTCAGAACTCCGATCCCTAACCAGCTCAGAAGCTTCTTTGTCGTAACATTTAGTTCCAACATCTCGTTGTAATGGCTCAAGAGTCAGTCTCAGAAACCCGAGATGCGCCGTCATCTTGCACTGTTCAATCCCAGCCAGATCCGCCTTTTTCCAGAAGCATTTCTTTTAGCCGACTCAACGCGCAGGCACGTGAATTTGTGCCTACTCGACCCACTTCACGGTCCGATCGACAAGGACCTAGGCTCGTTGTTCCACCACCACCACCTCCTCCCCCGCCCCCGGGTATGGTACATGTTTATCCACCGCCTCCAACTTCACCCTTCCATATACCGATTCGACCTCATGTGCCAGTGGGCACTCACGTCGTCCCTGGTCAGAGTCACCACCACCACATTTCCCATCAGCATCCGGTTCATTATCATCCTCATCAGCATCATTACTATGTTACCACCGGTGGAGGGGGATCGGGGGACCAAGACTCTGGCTTGCAGTCAGTTCAGAAGTCCCAAGTTGAGCCAGATCATACTCTCTCAAAGAATAAACTGTCTGAGGAAGCTAGTCAGAAGATTTTGAATCAGGTGACTTCCGTTTTTATCTTTCAACTTTTCGCATCTATACTGGATAGTTATCCTTGAATCAATCTTCTTTGGGATTGCTCCTGAGCCTATGCTTTCTACACATACCCTATAACCATAAAAATGCTAATACCTGACATATTATCCAACTGTCTCTTTAAACCAGCGCTGCTTAATGGAAGTTTTGTGCCCTTGCCCTTTTTTTTGGGGGGGGGGGGTGGCGCAGTTTTGCTGTATGAATGAAAATATGGAAGAGGGAAAAGACACTTGCTAGTTGCCATTACATTCTTTGTATAAGAACTTCACTTTTCTGGATGTCTAAGCATAATTCCAGAGATGGATTGGGCGAGGAATTTTAGGACATTGGTGCTTCTGCATATGTATTATTTCAGGAAAGGAAATTGAGAATGATCAATAAGCATGCATATATATATATATATATATATTTGTGAAAGCAAAGTTATGTATAACATGCTTTTCTTCAATTTAAGCATCATAGCTCCGGTACATTTTTTCTCATGTTGATATATTATTTTCATTTGTAGGTAGAGTATTATTTCAGTGATTTAAACTTGGCTACAACTGATCATTTGATGAGGTTCATCAACAAAGATCCTGAAGGTTATGGTAAGATGATTTCTTTTATAATTTTATTGGTTTTCTGACTTTCTCCTCATGTAACCAACTAACCTAGGGGATGACTATTTCATGCTACGTCCTGCACTACCTTTTTTCCACATTTCAGGGGAGGGAATGGTATGATGAGATTTTGGTCTTGAACTCTGAAGGTCATCAAGTTCAACAATATAATGTCTTGATTCTTGTTTAGTGTTGGATTTAGTGTTTCTGAGGTCTGCTATTTTGTATTCTCTCTAATGCTTTTCCAAAATGTTGTAGTGCCTATATCTGTTGTTGCATCATTCAAGAAAATTAAGGCTCTTATAAGTAGTCACTCCCAGCTTGCAACTGTTTTGAGGAACTCATCGAAGCTTGTAAGTTTCTTCACTTTCTTACTTTATGAATTTCATAAGTCTATCGATATTGTTTTAATGCAGATTGTATCCTAACTCTCTAGGTAGTTAGTGAAGATGGAAAGAAAGTCAAACGCCTGCATCCCTTGACTGAGTCTGATATAGAAGAGTTGCAGGTGATTTTCCACTCTTTTCTGATTTCCTTTGACGTGTTTATTGGGTGTTTTTCTTACTAATGTTTCACTTGTGGTGTATTATTGTTATCAGTAATGGTAGCTTATAGTTCCACTTTTTCTCCTTTATTCTTCATCTAATAATTTCCCTTCTTTTTTGTAGTGCCGCATTGTTGTAGCTGAGAACTTACCTGAGGATCATTGCCACCAGAATCTTGTCAAGGTTTTCTCTGTTGTGGGGAGGTACTGGTGTAGCTTGTATTTGAGTTTACTTTTAAGTGGACCCCTTTTTTTGAATTGGACATTTGTAGTGAAAGGTTCAAAACCTTGAATTCTAGTTACCATTTGTCTTAATTGGCAGCGTGAATACCATTCGCACTTGCCCACCTCAATCCTCAAATGGTGGAGCTTCTTCTGCATCAAGACTGGCAAAAGTTGATGGCATTCCTCTATCTAACAAGGTAAATATAATATGAAAACACATATTATTGGTTCATAGACGAGGCATACATAGGTGTCAATACATGCCCTATCGGTTACTTGATGTTTGAAGGAGTTAAAGTTGTTTGTTTGTTTTATTGTTTTTTGATGTGTTAGCCATGTAGCCTACCCCACCTAGTGGGATACGGCTTGTTGTTGTTGTTGTTGTTTGATGTGCAGGCCTTAAAACATGAACCTCAAGATCTGCTAATAGTCTGAACAATTAAATAGAACTCTGCAGGTGTGAATAATTTAATAGAACTCTGTGATAGTCAATGGTTTTGTTGATTTTCTTGTCTGAGTTCCACGCAATGACTTCATGCTATTTCATAGATTCACACCTTTTTTTTTTTTTGTGCCATTGAGTGGTGATGTAAGTGGCTCCATTCTAAGATATAGATCATCTTGCTTATGATTCAGAATTCACCCATGGAGATGTTAATTGATGTTTTTCTGTCTTGGTCCTATGAGCTTGGCTTTGCATCTGTCAGAAGTTAGGGCTGCTTTACTGTTTTGGCCTTATCAATTTAAACACGTCCCCTTTTTCCTAGTCCTAATATTAGTTTTTCACCCTCTTCCATGACGTATTGTTCTTTCTATCAGTACTTTTGTGAACCATATACTCACTTGACGCTTGGAATTACTAGAAATTTATAATTTATAATGTCAGAAATGCACATATACTTATTAGACATTTAAATGATAGCATTCTTTTATGAGAAAACATAATCTTTGTGTTATGATTTTATGGTAATGGCAGCAATTAGTTTTATTAGTTATAAGGATATAGTTCTGAAGAATTTGGGCAAAAAGATGGTCGTTCTATTCACAACAAGGGTATTTATCTAGGTTTAACCACACAGCACTTTCGGTTAATCCCTAGAATCAAGGTAAAATCAAAGAGATATTTACAAGATCAATTAGAATCTTATCTAATTAATGAGATATAACAGGAAAGAACTAAGAGTCTAAGATGGCAGACTTGTGCTTCTTCAACCCTAATTATTCTTAAACCCTAACATGTTTGGGCTTAACCTAATGGGCCTAAGATGTTGTATTCCAACACTCCCCCTCAAGTTGGCGAATAGATATTAATCATTCCCAACTTGTCACTTAGTTTTTCAAAACATTTTCTCGCAAGTGGCTTGGTCATGATGTCGGCAATTTGATCTTTCAAAGGTATATATGCCAAGTCAATCACTTTTGTTTCAACTTTCTCAGTTATAAAATGGCGATTGATCTCCACATGTTTGGTTCTATCGTGATGTACCAGATTATGTGCAATGTTTATTGCTGACATGTTATCACATCATACCTTGTAAGGTCCCTTTATTTCAATGTGTAGCTCCTTTAGGAGTCTCATGATCCACATTCCTTCACATATGCCCAAAGCTAGAGATCTGTACTTTGATTTTGTTGAGCTTCTTGAGACCACTAGTTGCTTCTTGCTCCTCCAAGTCACAAGATTGCCCTAAACAAAGGTACAATATCCAGTAGTAGAGCGTCTGTTAACTATAGAGCCACCCCAATCTGCATCAGTGTAGACTTCCCCATTCTTCTTGTTTCCTTTTTGAAAGAACAGTCCTTTTCCAGGAGTCTTCTTTAAGTATCTTAGAATCCTGAAAGCTGCTTCCATTTGCTCTTTATGTGGGTCATTTGAGAATTGATTGACCACACCAATTGCAAAACTGATGTGTGGCCTCGTGTGGGATAAATAGATGAGTTTTCCCACTAGTCTCTGGTACCTCCTTTTGTCTACGGGTGATCCTTCTTTTCCTTTCTTTCTTCTCAAGTTCTTTTTGTAGTTGGTCTCCATAGGTATATCCATAGGCTTTGACCCTAACAACTTGTTTCCATCAATAAATCAAGTGTATATTTCCTTTATGAGACGCTGATCTCCTTTTTTGATCTTGCTGCTTCTAGACCCAAGAAGTATCTTAGGTTTCCAAGGTCTTCAACTTCAAATTCCTTAGCTAGATTTGCCTTCAATTTTTCAATCTCTTCTAAGTCGTTTCCTATCAGTACAATATCATCTACGTACACAATCAGGATAGCAACTTTATCACAGTTATGTTTCACAAACAAAGTATAATCTGATTGACACTGGGTATAACCATATTGTTTGACTGCTCGTGTAAAATGTCCAAACCAAGCTCGAGGGGATTGTTTTAGGCTATACAAAGATTTTTGCAATTTACAAACCTATCTAGGTCTTCTACTTCCCTTTAGCCCAGGTGGTAATTC